TTCTGACACTCCAGAGCAGCGGAGAATTTCTTTGCCCATAAAGTAGAAGAGTTACAGAAACCTAGATGCCAATTCAAATATAATCATAAAGATACATAGATTCTTATCTGCTTATATGACGGAACATGTGGTAGTGAATTTATTTTTGTGACCATCCCAGGGGACCCATGTCTTTGCAACCATGTTGTTTCCTGGGGAATGAATGGAGATTCTTGTACGTTCCTCTTGCACCCTGCTCTTTGTCCCTTAGTGGAGATGAGAGTATGTCCTAGTGGGCTTCTAATGAGTTTGAAAGAGAATCCTTGGGGTACACAGAACCTTGATGTAAAGGTAAACATGGTGAGATGGCTTCGTAGACATTAGAATAAGGTCAGATTGAGAACTGCTTTGCTAGTCGGCCAAATTTTGGCAACGACACACGTCATGTCCTTAAAACACGATTCAGTGGACTTCAGTTATTATTCTGAAGAATTATACAGTCTAATAACCCATTGTTCATTCTTTCAACACATATTTGTTAAATATCTTTTAGAATTAAAGCACTGCTGAGGTATGGAAGGTACAGAAAATCATTACCCTTCCCTTGTTACAACTGATAAGATATGGAAATTGCATGTGTAAGCTTCTCCTCAAAATCTACTTTTAGACACTTCTAATTCTATTTATTTATTTATTTATTGAAGTTTGATCAGTTTACAATGTCACATCCATTTCTGGTATACAGCATGTATCAGTAATACATATACACCCATATATTCATTTCATATTATTTTTAATTATAGATTACTGCAAGATTATCTATTTTATATCTAGTAGTTAGTATTTGCAAATCTCAAACTCCCAGTTTATCCCTTCCCACCCTCTTCCCCGCTTAACCATAGATTTTGTTTTCTATGTACTTTTAGACATTTTTTAATGCAAAAAGAAGGTTCTAATTTTTATTCTGTTTCACCTACAGCAGTTTTTCCTTTTCTTCTCTATAAAGTATTAAAAATAAAAGAGGTTTTTTAAATAAACAACCCAATCCAAAAATGGGCAGAAGACCTAAACAAGCAATTCTCCAAGGAAGACATACAAATGATCAAAAGGCACATGAAAAAATGCTCAATATCACTAATTATCAGAGAAATGCAAATCAAAACTACGATGAGGTATCACCTCACACCAGTCAGAATGACCATCATTCAAAAATCCACAAATGACAAATGCTGGAGAGGCTGTGGAGAAAGGGGAACCCTCCTACACTGCTGGTGGGAATGCAGTTTGGTGCAGCCACTATGGAAAACAGCGTGGAGATTCCTCAAAAGACTAGGAATAGACTTACCATATGGCGCAGGAATCCCACTCCTGGGCTTGTATCCAGAAGGAAACCTACTTCAGGATGACACCTGCACCCCAATTTTCATAGCAGCACTATTTACAATAGCCAAAACATGGAAACAGCCTAAATGTCCATCAACAGGTGACTGGATAAAGCAGGTGTGGTATATTTATACAATGGAATACTACTCAGCCATAAAAACCGACAACATAATGCCATTTGCAGCAACATGGATGCTCCTAGAGAATGTCATTCTAAGTGAAGTAAGCCAGAAAGAGAAAGAAAAATACCATATGAGATCGCTCATTTGTGGAATCTAAAAAACAAACAAACAAAAACAAAGCATAAATACAGGACGAAATAGACTCATGGACAGAGAATACAGACTGTGGTACCAGGGGGGTAGAGGGTGGGAAGGGATAGACTGGGATTTCAAAATAGTAGAATAGATAAAAAAGATTACACTGTATAGCACAGGGAAATATACACAAAATGTTATGATAAATCACAGAGAAAAAACTGTGACAATGAGTGTGTATATGTCCATGAATGACTGAAAAATTGTGCTGAATACTGGAATTTGACACAACATTGTAAAATGATTATAAATCAATAAAAAATGTTAAAAAAATAAAAAAATAAAAATAAAAATAAAAGAGGTTTTATTTTTTCTATTGTAGAAAGTCAGTTTACAATGTTGTGTCAGTTTCTAGTGTACAGCATGATGCTTCAGTCACGAAAAATAAAAGACTTTTAACATCCATACTTTGTCAAGTAACTCAATGTCTAGGAATCTTGGTTTCTTCATCTGCAAAATGGAGATTACAGTCTTACAAGGAAGTTGTTAAAATTAAGTTTCAAATTGTTAAAACTTAAGTGGTAATGTACACAGGGTGCCTGAAATACTATCCGTACTCAACAAATTCTATCTATAGGTATAATTCTTATTCTGTTAATGTCACGACATTCTTCTCACCCAAGCCTGAAAACATTTTCTTTAATCTTTCCAGCTACATAAAGTCAATTATCAAGTTCTATTGGCTCGTCCTTGAAAATGTTCCTCATAATTGTCTTCTCCTTTCCACGTCTACTGCCACCTCCATAATTCTTCCTTATTTCATCTTCTCAGATTTTGTGTTGGGAAACCAGGTCATTTTTCTTAAAATGTACTTTTCTGCTTCCCTATTTAAAACAAACAAGCCACTTGCCTCAGTGGCTCCCTGGGGTACACCAAACGAAGCACAAATGCCACTGTCCTGAATCCTCACAATTGCACCTTTCCAATCATTTCCATTGTGCCTGAAAAGAAACTACAGTCCTGACATTCCTCCCCGATCCAACCCATCCTTCAGACCTACCTCAAAGTCTCCTTGAATCACTCTAACTGGATTGTCCCTTTATCTCATGCTTTATAGGATGTCTGGGGCATGGTTTCCCTTCTATAGCATTAAATTTTTTTATTAAAATATATTTTGGCAACATTATAGTGTTGCCAACAGTATAGTTAAAAGCATAGGTATGGAGACCAGACAATTGTGATGATTAAATTAATAAAGCACCTTGAATATAACCTGATCATTGTAAAGCTCTTAATAAACACTGCTGTTAGCATTAATGTCCTGTACATATTTCCCTACTGAAGCGTTCCTTGATGATAACGATCTTCCAGTATTGGTGGTACATTTTCTAGTACTTTACCTGGTAAACTTTTATTACATTTTTAGTAATTCTAATTACTTGCTTGCAAACTGATTTCTCATAGGCTCTGGTTTAACTTCTTTGCATGTTTTAAGATGTGCCAACTTCATCGTAGTAAGGGATGTGCTAACTCACACTCCCTGTGACGGACATGTGATTTGAAGGTATAGTTTTGTGCTCAACTTTTTATTGGTGTCAAGTAAAAAAGCCAGTTAACAAGACAGGGTATGTACATGGATAGGACGGTTGTTTTAAGTCATATGACATGCTAATTGCAACCAGTGTTCCCTGTTGCATGCCCTCATGCCAGTAAGTGCCAAGTAGCTTAAGAACTGCTTTGAAATTCTTTCCTAACTCCCCCTTAACTTGTCAAACTTTTTTTTTTCATAATAATTGGGAAAGAGGTTGGACTAATAAAAAGGATAACATTTTATCTGAGGGTCTCAAGGTACCTGGTGAGGCTACCTTCCATTTTGTAGATTGGGTATACTGAAATTCAACGTTTCAATGCCTTTTCTTTGGCTATACTGCCACCCAGGAAGAGGCCCATCCACATAGTAGAATATTTTACATTCCAGAACACTATGCTTGGCTTTTCCAAAGTAATTCATCTGCTCTTTTATCTTGTGGCCATTGTGACTGTATACCCAGGCAGATTTCCCCTCTCACCTTGTCGGATGGAAAATTGGAGCCAAATTTATGGTCTACCTAGAGTGAAAGTATTGCACTTTAGCTCTGAGTTTCTTATTAGCTTTTTCCCCTGATTTTCTTTTTTCTTTTTTTTTTTCATTCTTTCCTGACCATTTTCAATTTGAGTCAACTTGTTTGAATATGTATCATTTTAAGCACCTTGAGTTTCTTTTCAAACAAGAAAGGCACATAACTAATTTTTACACTCTTCACACATTTCTGTTAAATACAGCCTTTTCTTCCTTGACATTTAATAACTGTGGGACCCTGGACAAGTTTTATAACCTTTCCAAGTTCCCTCTCTGTAAAATGGAACTAATAATGCATAACTCTCTGAGATGTCTTGGGGATTAAATAAAATAACTCATGTAAATTACTTGGTGCATAGTAGGCATTCAATAAATGTCAGTTTGCTTCTTATCCCAGTTAATAATGCTTATTGGACTATATTAAAAACTAGAACCAGACTGTGATAATGCATTTCTTTATTAAGTATTTAAGCCAAATAATTAATTTCCCCCAGGGGGAAGGGAGAGAGATGTTGAACTAGTTTCACTTGCGGAACTTATTTATTAATTTTTTTCTTCCGCATTATTTAGTTTCATAGTCCATAATTTAGTTTTCACCCAGGAAAAAAGTCACAGTTCACTATTCCTTTTAACTCGATTGTGATCGTTTTTAAAATCTATTTTTACATTTGCCATTTATTAGAGATCATTATTAATTCTATTAACTGCTCGACTGTGTTTCATAACTACTTCGTGCTGACAAACTTTTGCTCCCAACAGTTACCCTGAGGTCTAACAATTTAAAAAGGATCAAGTTCTAATGGCAATGTTACAGCAAAAGAAAAACCACATTGAGGGGGAGACCCACACAGTCTGTGTTCTTTCGTGTTAATTTTACACGTTTGCATTTAAGTGGAGCCACATTTTCCTCAAGGACGGAACCTAAGTGAGGCAGGCGAGAAAAGTGGGAACTAACTGAGCTGGACTACGGTGTCATTGCACCTTTAAGGACTGGAGACTTGGTATTAGCTCGGCCTCCTTCCCGGCCCACCTCTGAACTCTGATTGACAGGGCGCCGGGCGAGGAGGAGCCGAAGGAGGCCGAGGAGGAGGCGCAGGGAGGAAAGTAGGGGAAGGAGGGGGCCCGTCTTTTCTCTGATGGCCAATCAGGGAAGGGGGGCGGGGCTCTGGGTGCCCTCCTCCCTCCTCTCCTCCCTCCTTCCCTCCCCCGCCTCCCGGCTTCCCCGCCCCCTCCCCTCTTTCCTCTGCCCCCTCCCGTCTCCTCCTTCTCGTCCTCCTCCTCCTTCTCCTCCTCCTCCTCCTCTCAGGCTGTGGTTTTTCTGTATATGTTTCTGGAGTCCTGAGCCTGAGCTAAACAAAAGCAGGAGGCTGACGGGGCTGCTGGAGTTTGCAGAGACACGGAGGAGGAGAGAGCCTGTGCTCTGCCTGCCGCCGCGGCTGGGGGAGATCTGGCTTTTGCAACAGCCCACCCCCTTTGAGATCACTCTGGCCCGGAGTGGGGGTGGGGGGCAGCGGGGGGTGGGGGGAAAGTTTGCATTGCAATCCCCCTGCCTTCCTCTCCTTTCTCCCGATCAATGCATATTTGCAAAAGGATTAAGCCACAGATTTAAGCGCCGGGAGCCCATTTCTGCCCTGCAAAGGAGACCGGACTGAAAAACCAAAAGCCAGCTCTGATTTCTTTTCGTCAAGTGGGAAGGTGGTTTATTTTTCTTGCTTTTTGGAGTCAACACCCTTCCCCACAAGCCCTTATCCCCACCCTCACCCCGCAACCCCTTCACGCCCCCCTCCCCCTCCCCACTCCCCATCCTCCCACCATCCTCTAAAGAGGCAAAGGGTATTTTTTTTTCTTTTGGTCTTCTTTTTTCCCCCTTCTCTGTTTATCCTGAAAAGGATTTGAAGACAGCTTGAAGGATAAAAAGCCTTGGTGCTTCCCAGGAGCCGAGCCGAGGAGCAGAAGAGGAAGAGCCGGGGGCTGCCGTTGCCTTTGGAGATGGACGAGCAGCCCAGGCTGATGCATTCCCATGCTGGGGTCGGGATGGCCGGACACCCCGGCCTGTCCCAGCACTTGCAGGATGGGGCCGGAGGGACCGAGGGGGAGGGCGGGAGGAAGCAGGACATTGGAGACATTTTACAGCAAATTATGACCATCACAGACCAGAGTTTGGATGAGGCGCAGGCCAGGTGAGATGGAGGCTTTTCTTTTCCTTTCTTGGGGTTTTTTGTTTTTCTCCCTCTCGCAGGGGGAAACAATGGGAACCGAATCACCACAGCGCTTTCTTTTTAAATGTTATTTTTTTTTCCGTTTTGAAGAGCAACTATATGGCGGAGGAGTAAAATTTGAAGGAGTGTTGTTATCGAAAGTGTAATCTCCCATGCTGTGATGTGGCTGGGTATATCTATAGCTATCTGTATTTATATGTCTATATATATATATGTATATATATAGTGTGTGTGTGTGTGTGTGTGTGAGAGAGAGAGAGAGAGAATATAGAGGTAGTCACATACATCCAACAAACACTTAAGCACGCCGAAAATACTGCCAACTGATCCAAAAGCGGCCCTCGGCACTTTTTACTGCTTTAAAAAAAGTATCAGAGCGAGCACAATTGTCAAGTTTTGAGCAGCATTACATGCCTTCTTGTTGAGGGACTCCGTAACATTACAAAATAAAATGTCCCGAGAACACTTGATTTGCAAACGCAGTTGACTCCTTACCTAAATCAGAGACTTTGGATTTTCTTTCTTGACGTACTTCTCTAAAATTAATTTTTGTCTTTTCCCCTTTCTCTCCCAATTAAAAAAAAAAAAAGAGGCAGGGGAATTCTTTGTCGGTAGTTGTCAGCTATCCGGAAAATATTTTGCATTCATTTAATTGTTTCAAAAAAAAAAGCTGATGGAAAGAAGAGACAATTTTGCTTTTAAACGTATTTGTTAAGGTTTAAGAGACTTATATGTAGTGTAACTTTATTGTCTCTTAATTTGAGTTGGTTTACTAACCTTTCGTGGCACAGAAGGTATGGTCCTTTAAAAAGGGGTGGGGGGACTAAAATCCAGCATGCTCTTTTTTCCCATGCTTCTTTCAGGACCTCTTAGATGCAACTAAAATAGAAATGAAAGCAAGGGTGCATTTTATGTATTTCAATCCTATAGGACATATAGATCTTCATTAAGGAAACAGAATAAAGAAGCTGTGTAGCTTCTCAACTTAATCCACTGCCAGTTCTCCACTCTAGGATTTTACGGTAAATTCTCTTTCAAAATAAAACATAAACTAAATGGCAACCCACCAACTGCCTGCCCAAGGCCGATCTCTAAAGGAAGACTTTAAAAAAATCTCATGACCCCATATGTCTTTACAATTACCCAGCTCTGTTAAATCTCAGAAGTAGTTGGTTTTTAAAATCATACATGCACAATTCCCCTGCCTCAGAAGACTTAGTTCTGTGGAGAAGACATCATTATGTGTATTTTTGTCTAAGGGAAACAGGAATTTGAATTGAGAAAATGAGAAACAGCAGTTAAAAGCATGAATGTTACGAATTCTACTCTTATTTTTACTGTGAGCACATGCAACACGTAAACTCAGAAGTACTGAGGTTTTACGGGTGCTCGAAAACTTGGAAAGGTTCAAAGACTGGAACTATGCTATTTTTTTTTAAATAGGGGGAAGTTTTCAAAGATTAATCGGTGCTCTTTTTGAATTTTATTATCCAGACAAAAGCTAATAGATATGGTAAATGGGAGATTTCCCACTGGCAATCTTTCTAAATTGGAAAAGATTTCTCCATTACATTGTTCCAGAAAAATAAACTCAGATGTACCAATGAACCGCTTTAATCACAAGTTTGTGCAGTCGAAGGGGCCGGTGAGACTGGAGACTCCCCACTTTTCTGATGTTTTGTCCCGCTCCTTTTTGTCCGACTAAGGACAGCCGTGGCTTGGCGGGTTCCCCCTTTTAATGGCCTAGATGCTGGGAGAGAGCAGACACAATTTGGGGATAAGGACATTTTCTGTTCTCGCTCTCCAACCCCACTCCTCTGCTGTGGAAAGTGCAGTATTTCTGTCAAGCCGTGTGGATTTTTGCTGTTGTTGTTGTTATCTATCTGTTTTTGCTTTGGGGCCTTCATGTAAGAACACAATTAATGAAAACTCTTTTAAAGAGGCCCAGAAAGAGGTCTGTGATACACTGAAGTCTTTTCCAGCTTTTTTTTTTCACACCCCACCAGAAGAACTAAATCACCACTAAGCTTTTCATTTTGGTTAAACAATGTAACTCAGCAGATACTGTAACTGGTCTTTCCTTTCCTTGGTCAGGTCTTCATAATGTACCCTTGTTAGTTACACAGTGAACCATTAGTGTTTTAGACACAGTGTTGCATGTTTATTTTGATACTCTTGAATTTTGGGCTTATTACTCTGCTGTACAGTATATAAAGCATGCTTCTAGTTTCTGTTTTTCATGAGGATGTGGATCTATTTTTTTAACTTTCAAAAGGATTAAAAAAGAATTGTATGTTTCTTGACTGCCAGGGGTTTCCACGTATCTTTCCACATTAATTTCAGTTAGTAAGCAGAATTCCCTTAACTAATAGCTGATATAATCAGTATTTTGTTTCCAAAACAATATCCTTCTGCTAAGTGCTTCCAGAGTGAAATGAAGGGAAAGGTATTGTTTTGTTCTTCAAGTGCATTCTGAATACAAACACACGTAAGAACCAGGTAGATCACTGATCTAAAAGGCAGAATTGTATTTATTTTTTCCCCAATGGGTGCAAGGTCCTAATTGTAAATAATTGAATTTCAACACCTGCAAATAAACAGTGTGTGCACAAGAGGCATAATATGAACACAGAGAAATGAATTTATTCCCCATATGGGTATGTTTGCCCCCTGGCAATGCATTTCCATACTCTTTAACTTGGGGACTGAAATTTTATAAATTGACAGTTCTACTCAGAAGACCTTTCAAGCATCTTGTGTTTATGAGAACACAGGGGCATCTGCGGAATGAATTCGAACACATGGATGAATTAAATTTGAAAACACACACACAGACCGAGAAGCAGACAGCTCTTAGGCTGTGGTGGCTGCATAGATTATACAAAACTGTTAACCCATGCATTTGGCTTTGCCGTATTCATTGCCTTGGGTAGGATTGTTGGTTTAAGAATTCCACTTTGATTAAACTACTTATTAAAAAAAACAACAACCCAACAAACTCGTCCTAAATGGGCATAATTGAGGGTAGTTCTGTTCTGTAGTTAAATCCCTACTCTCTCCCTGCTAATTAACATGATTTCTTTTTCTATGGCGGGATTCTGTATATTAAGTCATAAAACAATTGAAGCATGTCACTGTTACGCTTGGTATGTAATTTTGGCTAAATGTTCAGATTTTTTTGCCCCTGCGCGTTATCAGCAGTTGGGTCTTGAAAGTCCACCTAAGCTGTTACGTTGTTGTTTCTTTCTTGCAGAAAACATGCTTTAAACTGTCACAGAATGAAGCCGGCCTTGTTTAATGTGCTGTGTGAAATCAAAGAAAAAACAGGTAGGAATGAGATTCCAACGTTTAAGCATTTTCTTTGGCCAATTGACTCACTTAACCAGCAACCACGAACCCATTATTTAAATATTAAAATTTCAGAATAGAGGGACTCTCTAGATTGATCGCATGTTCCAAAAGGAAGTCCTAGCAGGCCTGCTTCTTCCTGTAAAAGAAAAGCACCAAGTTTCTTTGACAGGTATTACCAAGCATTACTGGTTTATTTGCCTTAACTCTGTTCCCAGCCTCTTTGAAATTGAGTCTAAGATAGAGGTTTTTCAAGGGAAATTTATAGAATGATGTGCCTTTGGGGGAAAAATATGAAAGTAAAAGTCCATTTCCTGAAGGAATATATTTTGGACCATCTTTAAAACACTATATATTTTTTTTTTTTTGGAGTTGGGCCAGGTGGGGGGCCAAACTGTTTCAAGTTTCCTTTCCTTTTTTTTCCTTCTAATTATACGAAGCGGCAGACTGGAGGTTCTCACAGAGTGTTGTCAAATACCTTGGTGGAAAGCGTTACACAACACGAGGTTATCTGTATTTGAGTGCCCTGTGATTTTTATTGCAGGGAGAATCGCTGGGTATAGGAGAACAGAACGCCACGAGATCACTCATTCTGTTGTTTTTCTACTTTCTAGACCTCCTATCAGTGGACTAACATACTTATAACACATCCCAGGAGGGCATTTAAATTTTAAAGCAACAATTAAAAAATAGCAGTCATCAATCAGAGGTGTTCTTAAACAACAGATGCTCTGGGAAGGACATGGAGCAACATCCTCTTGTTTGTTTATTTTAATCCTTAATTTTCCAAAGTAGGTGAACCTCTTTCCCTTGTCAAAAGAAAAGAGTTGAAAAAGGCAATCTGAAACCGGGGCATAAAGATGAGGAACGAGGGGTGGTTATATAAAGCGGGAGTTTCTGCTGGCCTCTGACTTGCTCGCTCGCTTCCGAGCAGTGCAAAGTACCTGACATCCTATTTATTTATTTATTTTTTACAACAAGGAGTGTAACAGTCAATAATTCATATCTAAACCATATAAGCAAGGGCATGACATGAATGAAAGTGACAATAAATATGATTGCATGCCCGGTTGATATACATTGATAGTTACACATAAAAAAAGGGGGTGGGGAGGGTTGAGGGCACACAGGGTGGCTTTCTTTTTGAGAGCCCTCGGTGTTTTCTCTTTTAAAAAATAAATAGTTTCAAGATGTGACCATTGATCGAGTATGTAATTACTTGGGTCTGGAAATGTATGTAAAATTAGTACGCAGCTCTTTTGTTGAATGTTATTTGTGTCGTGTATAACATGCCAGACAATGCACCTGAGCAGTGATGTTTGGATCTCTAAGTCTCCCAGGTTGCCTTGCCAAAGCCTAAACTTACTGCAGAGCTGTTAATTGCATTATTTTTAACCATGAGACATCTTTTAAGAAATGTATGGATTATGCATAGAAATATCAATAGGGCTTTTGCAGTTTGTCACACTTTTTAGTTTTTTTTTTTTTTTCCTATTAGCCCAGAGCAGGAAACCTCAGTGTGTCTACATTTCTTTCTCTTCTTTCATTTTTTTCTTCCTTCTCATTTTCCTTTTTCCTCTGATGCTCATTTGCTTGGAATATTTGGTTTGTTGGAATTTGTTGCTAATTGAGTACGTGTTCCTGCTGATCTCGATTCATCAAATGGAGAATCAAGCTCTAAAGGCATATTTGATAATCCAGACTAAAGAGACTCTGTTTTTAAGGCACTTTATCAGATTTTTTCTTTTTGTAAGAAAGCCCATCAGGCACTTAAAGGTGTATCATGGCCAAAGTGTTGAATTCTAGCCTTCTGATTAAAACCTTCTAAGGCAGTAGGTCAAAGTGGGTGGGTGTGAATAGAGATCCGATTCCTGTGTGGGTGAGGGTTTGCTCTTTATGTGAATATTGGCTAAACTATGGTGATAAGAAGCAGTCGTACTGGCCAAAAGAACACTCTAAAGTTATAATTTATTGCTGGAATATAGATACTGTTTTTAAAATTTTCTGTTCCTTAGTGACATTAATGTTTGGAGATTTTTAAAAATCTAAATTAAGGTGTTGTGTGTTGTCTCTCAAATATTATATTTCAAAGAAAAGCTTATTTACTATTTATTATTTAATAGTTACTGCAAATTGAACATGTTAAGGATCACTGGCCCCGTGTTAAGAGGGAAATACTCGTGTGCGCACGCACACACACACAGAGTTTTGGATTAAGAGGGCACCTATGGGTGAAAGTGAAAAAAGAAAAAGAAAAAGGAAAAAAGGACAAAAGGCCATTCTCCTTATTCTTGAGCTTGTATATAGGAAAGATTAAGGGGAAGGAAGAAACCTTTCCTGGAATGTTGAGTGTTCCGTGCTATAGGTAGGAGCTAACTGCGGTTTGTTGGAAAGAATTCTTTGATTCTAAAGCATGCTTGCTTATTCAAGATCATTCCAACCCTCATTCTATGAGCCAGCATATCTTCCTTGCGGGTGGTGTGTCGGAGACCCAGAAAGTGTCTGTCTGTAAGGTTGGAAGAGCTCGGGTTTTTTTTCCCCTCTTGATACAGAGCTAGTGAAAAGCTCTCCTGGATGATCAGTTCACATACATTCTTGCATTATTTGGGGACTTTTCCATTGTTAACTTTCAAGCCCCTCGCATGTGATGAGTATCTTTGAGCTTCTGTCTCCAGCATTGTGGAGGGAGGTTGCTTGATTTCGGGTGGGCTCCGTGTGTGTGTTTGTGTGCCCACACGGAGTTCACACAGCTGGCTCACCTATGTCTTTACAAGAAAGGCAGGACTTTGTTTGGAGCGTGGTGATTGCATTCATTTGCAGCTTTTGCTTTTCTGTTTTTGTTAAGGATTTTAGTTGGAAAACTCAGAAGTAAGTAGGGAAAGTCACCAAATTTGCCTTACCAACCTTTTGGAACTTTTAAAGAAACACGCACATTATAGCACCCAAAGTAGGCAGCACCATCTAGATTACAGTTGATTGATAGGTATTTAAGTCAGAAATTACCATGGGGATATTCAGGGGGAAAAAAAAAGAACCCATGTGTCTTCTTGTTTCAGAATGTAGGTAAGTTTTTATTTTGATACCTTTTTGCTTTTTAAAATAAACGCTAAGAAGGGAATGCCTGCAAAATTCTCAGGCAGCAGATCTCAAACAACAGCAAGAAAAATTTTGTCAAGACCTCCAGCCGGTGAATTTCAGAAGTGGCTTTTATCTGCTTGTTCCTTCTGGGAACACAGAGATTTAATAGAGAGTCTTGGGCCATTTAGTATCTCATTTTCTTTTGTTTCTTAAGGACTGTGCCTTGTCTTCTGATGTGTTAGCAATAGGCTGGGGTTTGCATTTGTGCAGATGCGGTGGTAGTGGGGTTGACAAGATGGAAGAGGAGGAAAAAACTCCAACAGACTGCGTTTCTTAAAAAGACTTCACCTGTATTTTTAAATGTTTCTTGATTTAAAAAAAAAAATTCTGTGTCAGAAATCATGCAGGTTAAAAATTAGGAAAGCACACCAAAAATATTGGGTGCCATCTACTCTAAGGAGAATATTTATAGATAGTCATGAATAGCTGTAATGGTTGTGAATAGGTTTTAATTTTAGAACATAATAGCTATATATGGTACTTTCCAGCCAATTTTCCTTCACGCATTATCTGCGCTGAAGTTAAATCAAATCACTGAAGGAGGTTAAAAAATTAGTTTTTGCTTTCTTAACACCCTTTTGTTCTCTCTTTTCTTTTTTTTTCCCTCTATGTTCAATTAACACCCCCATCACACTGTTTTTTTTTTCTTAAGTCTACTACTGTATTTCACTTTTGACACTCTCCGTTATTATTTCTCGCCTGCCACTTCTTTTTAATATAGCAATTACATCATGGGACTTCGACTCCTCTTTATAGCATTAGAGAATAATTTGTCTGTGTGTGTGCATGCACGCGTGTACACGTGTGTGTTTGTATATGTAGGTTGGGGAGGACCCCATGCAAGGAAGCTGTATATTGCAGGGAAATAATTCTGATGGTGTGAAGCCTGAAGCACAGAACAAGAGGGAAATAACTTCAGACCATTTAGAGTTGCCTCTGCTCAGATTCCTTTTGGGGTTGACGTGGCAGAAGTGACTCTTCCTAGAAGTTCGTCTTGAGCAGGCAAATGCACAGACTTTTTCTTGCTGATGAGAGAATTCAAGTATTTGGTCTCTCTCTCTGTTTTTTTTTTTTTTTTTTGGTGGAAGGGGCTGAGAGAGAGAAGGGGAGCAAAGAGGGGGAGTTGCTTGATTCATTGTCCTTGAACCTCCTTTTCAGGAATGGTGGTGTGTTAGGCAGAAGTCAGGTGACTGTCTAATTGTCTTTACTATTTATTATAATCTGGATAGAAGCGATAGACCTGTGATAATACGACTCTGGCAGAGACGCCAGAGGAGTATATGATGAGAAGTGTCCCTTCTCTCCAGTCGCTTTTGTGGCATCCACTTTTAGAAATGGGCTTGGACCAATTCTGGCACCTGAGAGAGAGGTGTGGAGGAGGGTGCAGCTTGGTCAGACCTACTGGAGAAAGGTCTTTGGAAATTTGATGTTGCTTCTTCCAACGATAGGATGTCTGAGGATTGGGAATGAGAGATTTAAATGAAACTGGGAAACTTGGATGAGGATTTGTGAGATGGGAAACGCAGGAGAAACTTGTAACCTACGCACTGCGGGGTGTTGGGAACTGGGAGGGGTGAGGGTGTGGGTCCCCAGGTGGGTGGTGGGCTGAGTTCTGGGCAGAGGAGGGCATTGTCTGCTGTTGTGTTTAGCTCACTGCTGGTGCCAGGTTTCTTTGCCCCAGCATTCTGCTGACATCTGTGAACTTTTGGTTGCTGTTGTTGGCAAAATTACAAAATTTACCCCCAAACAAGCAAACGATCCAAAACTTAGATATTGAACATGTTTAAATAGGAAAGCATTTTGATTTTAATTTAAAGCATAACTGTGGCTTCCTTTGAGAC